TGTGAAGATATTAGCATATTGAAGGAGATCTCAACTTTAATTTGTGAATATTTTGTTGTATTGCATTTTATTTCTTCATCCAGTTTATTTTTATTCTTGCTGATTATAACTTATTATTATTTGTTTTAATTTATTCTTTTTCAGCATATTCATTATTACAAATCGTACTTATTCTTTATGCCCCTTATCCAATGTCTCCCCATCTTCCCGCCCCCTTTTCCCTCCCCCTTCCCCTANTTATGCCCCTTATCCAATGTCTCCCCATCTTCCCGCCCCCTTTTCCCTCCCCCTTCCCCTATAGTATTATTATTATTGCTAAATTGGCTAAGATTTCTTTACATCTTTTTCACCATCAAAAAAGTTTTTTTCAAAAATATTTAACAAAATATCGATGAGACCTGGTATCAACTTTAAATTAATGCAAACCAACATATTTCTAATGAAAATAAATAACACCATATGAGAAATAATGTATGAGCATATTTTACATTATAATATATAAATTTATATTGAAAAACTTAGTTATTTTATTCTTTATTGCTGAAACCCAGGTATATTGTCACAATGGGGAACACAGAGGACCTAAATTTTCTACTACTTGCTCAACATCTTGTAAGTTGTTACTGGGTTATTTACTTTACCTGTATTAAAAAAATATTAGCACTTATAAAACTATATTATTTTATATTTATACTTTAATTATTAACTGTTTGATGTGTTTTTCATGAATATGATATTTTAAGTTTTCAGGGCAAACACACATATATGTAGGTGAACATCATACTAAAAAACATTATCTTAAATTCAAATTAGTAGATCCAAGTATTAAAGGACTGTTGATTTTAGAAAATAATTCATAAGAGAATTTATCTGCACAACTATTTAATTATGACTATATTTATGGTGTTTTTTCATGTTAGTAACTTTGTTTTGTGTACTCTTTTAGGAAGATTATTATCTGTTTTATCCTATTCTGTCCTTCAACCATTTTCTTGTTGGAAGCGGGCCTTAGATAAAAATATGTCCTGATTTATCCAACTGGAGTTAAAATAAGCACTCCTTAATAACAATATGACTATTTAAATTTCTATCATTAATGTT